AATATACCTCCAACTTATTCTTTATAAGTGTCTTCAGTTTTCTTTCTGTAAAGATAAATCTTTAGCAACTAAGATTGCAAAACGATGCTATTTGTCATGTTCTCAATGGAAAACCGTGTTGAAGTAAAGATATTTCTTCTTAATTTCCTTCTAATAATAATCATTGCTGTTTTAAAGATTTTGACAAATTATTGTTGGCATGAGGGCATTAAATATTACCTGTAATAGTCAATGTGTGCCTATGAAGCTATAATCAGATTTCGATGGGAGTTATAAAAGAGAAAATAAGTTTATGTCCAAATGCCTAGTGTCAAAATCCATAACTGATTTACTGTAAGAATGAATTATTGTTAAAATGCCTCTGAAAGAATCTATCACAGAAATATGCTGCAATATGTTTTACAGGTGGAAACCATTATAAAATGGTCTATACAGAAAGATTTTTTTTAAATATTTTCTGATAAATATACTTAAAATTACTTAGTGTACGTATATGTAAAAAGAATACCATGATAATTTATAAACAACACTTGATAGTATCATGAGCAATTCCTGACACAATGGATATTTTTAAGATTTTTTTTATATGGGCAATGTTCAAAGGGTTTATTTTGTAGATGAGTTTTACCAAATTTTGAAGAGAGTCTCATTAATTTACCAAAGAGAATTTAATATGATTTACAATGTTGATGGTTCAGTATTTTAATTAAAGATTGATTTTAATAATAAAGTGGTAAATATTCATATTTTTGATAATATGGAAAAGTTTTCTTCTAAAATAATGATACTGCAGTACAAATCAATTCAAATCAATAAATGCTGCAGTTTTTAATACAAGCTTCACAAATAAATTAGAAGATTTAAATTAGAACACTGCTATGTACCTTCCCAGTATTCTGACAATAATTGAGGAACACACATTTTTAAAATAAAAATCTTTAAAAAAAAAAAAATCTCTTTCTTATGATGCTGGAAAGTTCTCAGTCTAACAGAATTTCCAAAATCTGGCAAATGACCAAACATCCCATTTTGGGAGAGTAAAGGCTTCTTGGTTTGGCCAAGAACTTTTCAGCACTTTAAACTGGAAGTAGGGGATATGCTTTTATATTGAATAATCTATGATTAAATATTGCACAGAATTAGCCCAACAATATTAAATGACGGCTCATCAATAAAATTAGTATTGTGGATGAAACAGCAATAAATGATTTTAATAAAATTAAAATCCGAAACTTCATTTAGTTCTTGCAAAACAAAAAATTATTAAATTTTGTCTTTTATTAAAGCTTCAATATCTAATTATGTTTAAAGGTTTAAAATAATTCTGACACAATATGATTAGTCGAAATAATAAAAACAAATAATAAAAGCAATTCATATTTAAGAGAGCCTGCCTAGTGGCTGAGATAGTTATGTATTTCCCAGTAGTTAGATCAGATAAAATGTCAGGGTTTCAAAAGCTGATATTTAAGGCAAGGTGGCCCTGCCCAATTGGAAGATTGTCAAAACCCCACAATTTTTCTACCTTAATTTCTATCCAGTATTTGGTATCATATGAAAAAATCAATAACTGGTACTAGATTCTTACTTTTAAGTATCAAGAGTCTGGAATGATTTTAAATAACTTGATCAAGTCTATAAATTCTTGACTTTAAAGAAAAAAGTGGGAAAAATAACTGAAATTCTCAACTAAACACACAAGAAAGGAAAGCAATAAAACAATGCAATTAATAATCAATATTGGATTAGCAAGCATATGATAGAATTGCAAAATTCAGATATTGAAAGACATTCTTTTTAACTCTGCATGCATTATTGCAATCATCATAGATGAATGCTTGCTTTCTTTCCATAAAATTGACAATCTTTTCAATAGCTTTTATCAAATGCTGTCTTATATAAAAACACAGCCAAAAATATTATGGAATTTTAAAATGCTTGTATGTTAAATAATTTTTTTTAGTAAAGATAATATTAGGCATCACCCCCTCTGTTTCTTATCCTGAATATAACATATAACTCTGTATATGTTGGCAGTCATTTTGGAAAAATAGTTCAGTTTTATGATATTTCAATACCATAACATATAAATTCTTGTTGTTGAAAATGACTAAGGATGGTTGAAAGAGCTAGGACATATATGCCTAATTTTTTTCATATGCCATGTCCCCTCAAGATGTAGGTGATCATGACTCTCCACAATTTCTTGTCCTTTGTAGCTATTAATAAATTATCTTTTTGTTATTTCTTCCAAATCCTGTTCTGTCATTCATTTACTCAGAACTATGCTATGTGTTGTTTTCTTATGTTCCCCTTTTCAGTCACTCCTGTGAGTATTAGATTTTCCAATCCCTCTTTCCTTACTATATGTCCTACAAATTTTAGCTGTCTCTTCCAGATGTTAAATTTGTTATAACTTGTCTATGGTCTCCAATAAAACCTATATATATATATATATATATATATATATATATATATATATATATATATATTGTGTATATTTAGGCAGCAATTTTCCATTGATGCATGTTTCATTAAATAATATAGACAAGTTTTGTCTATTTATTTTAAGTAAGTTCCTTTCATATTGTCTGATAAGCTTAATAACATTATCATTGAAAGATGAAAGGAAATCACCATATTGATACATGTTTTAATCCAATCTAAGCTTTTCATGCAACAAAAATAGACTATCATTATTGTTTCGTCTATGTATTGGTTGATATATTGAAATGTAATTGTCATCTTTGATAATGGCTTATGTAAGCCGAAAGCTTAGATTGGATTGGATGGTAATATTTTATTTCATGAAAAACTTATACTATGGTTTTAATTTATCAGAGCAAACATTTTCACAAAAATAAATGGATACAAATTTAACCAGACATAAAAACATTTCTCTACATAATTTTTGTTAATTCAAAATTGGTGGGGGAATAGGCTTACCCTGATTTTTTAAAGTTAATTATTAATACTTATATATATGATGTTTAAAATTTGCTATAAATAGAGTTAAGGGTGCTAAATATTAGAATTTTTTTTTTTTTACAGCAAGGTTCATCCTTTTACAAAGCCCAGTGGTCACTCAAGGTAAAGGGTTTGTGAATAATGACTTTAAGATCACTTGAGGTATGAGACAGTCACTATGCAGTGTTGATTCTGATGTCCATACAGTCACTTTCTCATATATTTCTAAAGAATTAATGTGTTTATCTTTGATTTGACATTTATACAACTTCAAACATTATTTGAAACAGGTGTCCCATTTTTATTTATTAAACAAGGTTTATTATGTCCATCACCACATTCCATTCAAGAAAATCTAGTAAAAATAGGTGTTTTTTTTCTTTACTAGTATTTCCCAAAGGTATAGACAATGTTTAATAAATAAAAATGGGACATCTGTTTCATACAAAGTGTCCAATGTAAGTTCCAAGTTTTATATATATATATATATATATATATATATATATATATATAAAAAAAAATTAGCAGATCAACCAATTCCGCTACCTTTGTTTCAACCTTTTGGTATCTTCAGTCGATTTTGGTCAATTTATTTCCTAATGCTTTATTTATTTTTAAATTTAATGAATGCTTTATTATTTAAAAAAAAACTATGTATGTATATGTGTAGGTATATTTATGTATGTTTCTATTTGTAGTGATGAATGTGTGTACACATATGTATGTATGTATTTTTTATATATACTGTAATATATTTGTACTCGTTATGTGTACTCATGTGTATGTAAGTACACATGAGATATTTATATATATTTGTGTGTTTATGAGATTTCTTTTTTATATATTAGATAGTTTTATTTTAGGTGTTACATTTGGCCTGGACATTTGAATTTGGTGTTTATTTATGTGTGTGTATGCATATATATTTATTTTTCTATCCATTTCTATATATTTTAATGTCTTTTTTCTTTACGTTGTTCATTGACGAATATTTGTTTTTCTATTCTACACATATTAAACTTTATCTATTGAACCAGTTTTATCTATATAGCTTTGCCTGTGTAAGTTAATAGTATGGTTGAATTTGTTTACTAACACTTTCAAATTTCAATATTTGTTGGTGCGTATATGTGTGTGTCTTTATTAATGTATGTGTGCTTATATATGCCTTTCATTGTATGTATATATTGTCGGTTTATTTTTTTTTTAAGGGTTGTGGACATCTATTTCCTATTTCATTGACGTTTTTGCATGTTTATATATCTAAATATGTCTACGTGTTTGTGCATTATAATCTGATTGTATATGTATTGTCTTTTGCAAGATTTCACCCTTCCCTGCTCATATCACCACTTCAAATGTATCTAAGTTGTAACAAAGCTCAGAACAATATTAGATTTTAACGTTTATTCTGACTGAATTTTTGGCCTTTCAATTAAAACAAAATAAATAACAAAACATAAGTATTTTTTCCTCAGTTTCTTCTTTAAATAATTTTATAATATTTTAAACTTAATACAGATTAAATTTAAAATTTTTAATTTTCAATTTTATAGTAAAATTTAATATTAATTACTTAGGCTTAGACTAAAATAGAAATCATTCTAACATTAAAGCATTAATTATTATAACCAAAGTTTGTTGTTATGTTTTCTGAATTCTCATATACTTGTATTTTGATTGGTCATTGCAGCTTATGTAACAGCAGTTCCCCTAGCAAGTGGTGTTTGGTTGATTTGAACCTTTTAAAACCCTTTATTCTACATTCAATACCATCACTTGATAAGACACCGGAAGTGTTGAAACAAAATGGCTATTTTTGTAGTGATTTTATAACATATTTATGTTATAATTTTCGATTAAATAATTATATTTGCTTTACTCTGTATTGAGCACTCTTTTAAGAATAGTATTTTTTGATTATTGGAATTTTTTCCATATACACCAATCCTATATATATATATATATATATATATATATAAAAGAGATGATTTATTTTTACAAACAGAAAAATGTATCAAATGATTTCATACCTGGAATATACTTTTTCATTTCATAAAGAGTTTTCGCCCGTCTTTCTCTCTTCTGATCCTCAGTCCTGTAAATAATAATAATAATAATTAGAATAAACATTGTTCTTGTTGATAAAGCAAGAATAATGAATGATTATCACAACAGATTTATATGATCTTTTCTAAACGAATAAAGAAAAGAGAGATTCACAATCTTATAAAAACAAAGCAGGAAAATCAGATTCAAAATGTCATTAATTACAAAACAAAGGAAATAAAAGATGTGAAAAGAACAAGACAAAAAGGCTAAAAAGAAAGTGGAGCAGCAGAGAAAACTTACAATATTATAAGAAACGCTAAACTGTATTTCATATGGGATGCTTTTGAAAGCAACAGACAAAAGGATAAGATAGCACATTGAAAATAAATGTGAATAAGCATGTCTGAGTTAAGCAAAGCAGAGAGAAGAAAAAAAAAAAAAAGACAAAGTAACAAAACCAAATCTAACATTACCAATCATCATCAAATATAATTGAATTTCTTCATTTTTCCATTTTCAGCATTAACAACAAGTGAATGAGAAAATTAAATTTCAATTCCAAGTTTTTATGACATTATTTTTTCCTAAACATTTTTAAGTACAATCTTTGTCTTTGATGTTATTTTGCATCCCAATATTTTCTGCATGGTACATTATTTTCTTGATTTTGGATCAAAGGCAGCAGCAGCTTTAGCTGAGATTACTGTTACTACATCGTGTAGTGACACCAATATCACATCTTATCCATGAATACCACAGTCAGGCAGTATTTTTAGCTACACAATCCTCTTTAGCATTGTCTTTGTTGCTATTACTTCTCCAAGATATTCTGTTAACTACCAAGTCACTAGAACTTCAATTTAACTGTTTTTATGATGTAACAGAAAGAAAAAAAGGTTTCTACTTAAAAAGGAAAAAAAATGGTTGAAGATTTTGTTGAAATACTTAAACTCATAATAATTTGAAGATTTAGACTGGATCGTTAACAAAATGGATTGATAAAAAAGTATTAGCAAGGGTAAAGGCAGATAATATATTGGAGATAAAAATTCACTTTGACTGTAGCCAGAGTGGTGTAAGCATTTATTTTATTTTTTTTGAATCAATTCACACAAAGTAAAGGGCTACTGGAAGTGAAAGAGAATGAGAAAACTTTAGAAGGAACTGGAAACCCAATCCTAAACAGGTACCATGCCTTGAAAGAATACTGGGCCTGAAACTCACACCTGACTTCAAATGAGACTCGTACATACGATCCATTTGCTAAGGATGCAAGGAAAATAGTTGGCTCCCTGTACCAATCCAGGCCAAAAATGGAGTATTGCTGCCATATTTGGACAGGAGCTGCCCAGACTTCACTCTCCAGCTTTGATAGAGTTCAAAAGCATCTTCAAGCCTTGTGGGTGATGAATTATTCTCCACCCCCATCCCAACCTCTCTCGTACAGACAGGATATAGCAAGCCTGTTGCTGCTTCCATTGCTACTTCCATGGAAATTGCTCAGGTGAACTACGTTCCCTGGTCCCACCAATTCAAACCTTCATGGCAAGGACATGCCATGCCACTTACATAGTCACAAACCACGCACATTCCCTCTGTATTCCACTCAAACAGCTTCTTCCTGTGAAGAGACTTCCAAGAGGAGGTTTCCTCTGAGTTAATGAAAAACAAGGCCAAATAATAAAAGTATTATGAAAACATTATGAAACAGTGTAAAATCCAAACAACAAAACCTCAAATTTAATTCAAAAGAAAGGTGAGATATTTTATATGACATTTAATTTTCTCATTTACAAATGTAAAAGTTTCTTGGTTCATTGCTTAGAGATCAAAAATGCTCTGTCAATTGTTGGTTGGTTGTTTCATTTTATGGCATATCAACCTCAGTGGGTCATTTAATGCCAACAAAATTTTTGAAATAGATTCATAGCGATAGTTTGGTAAAAAAGGTGTTTATATATATATATATATATATATATATATATATATATATTTTTTAAAACTATTTTCAATTACTCATATTTTTTTTTTTTTAAATTACTCACTTGGCAATATTTTGTTACGCACTAGATCAAAATCTACACACTCTAACAGTATATGTTTCACTGTAAATTTTTAATTATTGCTGATAATTTTTCCTTCAAAAATTATTACTTGTAATAATTTTTTTATTACAAAGTATTTCTGGTATTAAAACAAATTTAGGTATTAACTATTTGCCCATAGATGGTACCCTAACAGGAGTTACCACCCTGGGTCAGGGTGTACTTAGGAATACCAGCAATTAAGAGGTGGCTCCACACTCCTCAAAACCTGATCAGAGGTCTTGCTGTTAGACGTAGTTTATCATCTTACCCAGGATGTGGATTATTTTATCGTCATACCCAGGACGGAAATGCTCTGTCAAAGCTAAATGATTTCATCTTAATGCTAGCAAACTGAAACATACTTGCTATCAGTGACAATTAAGGGTTTCTGCCATTTATAATTTTGAATTTTTACACTAAACAGCTTTGGGATTTCTGCATTGGTGTTTCAGTCCTTGTTGGCTTAAATCTAATTTTGTGTCAACTTCAGGTTAATATAATTTATTTTAGCTTTCTTATAAGAATATTTTTTTACAATCAAATAATTGTACAATTGTTTCCAACAAATACTAATATTGTAATTGAATCTGCCAGATTTTCAGTTATTGTTTTATTCTTCTTAAATTTTTAAACATTCATTTTTATAAATGCTAAATGTTTGTCCCTTATCTGATAATACAAATAAACAGCAAATGACTTTAAGTAACATGAAATTCATGATTTTAGGCATGAAAACATTAACAAAAAAAATAAAAAGGATGTTTTCAATTGTCATAATTCATTAAAATGAAATTTAGTCATTCATTGAAAATTCAAATTATTCATTTTTTTCTTTCTTTAAGCTATTTTTCCCTGATTTTTAATTTATAGCAGAATGTTACCATTTCATGTTTGCTCTCTCATTAAATGTTGAATAAATATAAGAATATTTGTTTGCTTTGACTTTATTAAACTCAAAATGAATTTTTCATTGTCTTTCATTTTATATTCCTTTACTTACAGCAAGTATTATACATCCTGGATATGTATAAAAGTTTGCATAATGAAGAGACAACAATTAATACATAAAAAATATCCATCTAAGCAGCTGTTAATGTATTTCATATATTACTTTAAACTGTGTATCAAAATATGTGCTTAAATTTATACCAATGTAGTAATTTGTCAAATTAATAAATATATATATATATATATATATATATATATATATATATATATATATTTTTACTTAATGTATATTTGGGCAGCAACTTTTCTTTTAAACGTCTTTCATTAAATACAACAGACAAAGACAGTTTAATGAATTTTTGATATAATTTTTCCAGCATCCTCATGTTTTCCTGTTTTGTAGGAGGAGGGTTTCAAGTGGGGTTTGTTTTTGGTGTTGTTAGTTTACCTCATGTTATGATTGCTTTAAGTTGTATTCTATTTTTGTGTTGCTTTGAATAGGAGTGTTTATTCTGAGCCTTCACATGTTGAGTGCGGCTGGAATTCAAGTGAGTGTTTTTCTATTTTTAAAAAAAAACTTTTAACACACCATTTCCACTGATAAATAAGGTGAGATTGGTAGTAGGAGAATATTTGAAATATATAAGATATTAGAATGTTGAAATCGCTACATAATAGCTTTCATGTTTCAGTACTATATTGTACCTCTTCAGGCGAATGGTAATTAAATAAATTTTTAAATTTCAAAAGCAAAATGTTACTTCTTTTCTGGAAGATAAAAGCAAAGGGGAAGAAAACACATGGTCAGAATTAAAAATAGACTTGTGGGTTTGTCTTGATCAACCAATTAAATGTCAGATCTACACTAAATAGAAAATTAGGCTCAGAGGGTGGAGATGGGGAAGTTATTTTTTTCATGACTTGATAAACTGGAACAGACAGGTCATCATTGACAATAACAGAAAACATGTAAGCAACAAATGTATTGAGGACAAATATGACATGTTCAATTTTTCAAAGGATTATGAGGGGAGGGGAAGGAGGATAATCGGACATAAAGTTAATTTCAACAGAAAAAAATTTTTTAAAAATATTTTCAGATTCAGGATGCTTCTTAAAGAAACCTGTAGATAAAATTCATATATATATATATATATGGATTTGGTTGCTTCTTATAATTAAGAAAAATAAACCAGGCTTGATTTAGTCTGTGTAAATTAATATTAGATTAACAAAGAATTTTTTCAGCATTTCTACCAAAATATTTAGTTCATATAAATCTATAGTATCCTTATATCAGTCATGAAAGTTTTTTTCCCTGGATTTACACTCCCACTTTTCAGGGAAGTTCATCTATCATAAAATAATTTTGATTTAGTGAATTCTTTTGAGAACATTTTTTCGATATTTTGAATTTGTGGGAACTGCTGACCATTCAAGAGAGTGCAGTATGGAATGAACAACAGATAGTCTGAAAGTGAGTGAAGATAATGCTGCATGCAGAAGAGCTTTCCATACCAGTTTCATGTTTTTCTCCTGCATCATGTCCTAAAAAGAAGTCAGGTATTATTAATGCAGAAAAATCACTGATTAACTTATTTGACCAACAAAAGATCTTTCCTCAGTGCATTAAAAAAATCCACCACTCAAAGAAGCAAAGATGGTCCCGTTTAGGTCAAGATGTTGATCCAGCTTCATCTTGGATTGTTGTAATAAATCAAATTTACATTGTCAATAACATTGCTGTTAAAAATGTCACTTTTTTTTCTATGTCAGATACTGTTTAAATACTAATTTTATTTTCCATAAATTCAGATAAAATCCATTTTCCTAATTCTGCAATTTCTCATCAGATTTATAAGCAATATATTACACTTGACTGATTGTAAAAGCAATAAAGATTGAAGTAAACTTCAAAGATTTGCCGAACATTGGATGAAAGATAGCAGCACTGGGAGGCATCACCAGAAAGGTCGCCTAATGTTGATCATAATTTATTCACATCTAAAAT